CAGCAGGCACCGTACCGGAACGGTGCTTTGGTGGGCCCAGCTGCCCGCCCACATTCCTTACTTGTATTTGAGCCAACCAGGCCATTTGTGCATGTGCATGCAGTGCACGGCACCTGCGCGACACTCTGTCGAGCAACCGGAGTGTTGTAGCTCAGTGGGCGCACATGTGTGCACAGCGCACATGCACGTGGTGGACGCCCGGCCCCATTGCAGCGTACCAGTTGCGACGGGATCGGGACTGTGCCATATCTTTTTCCTTAGAGCCAGCCAAGCTGAAATCTTTGGAGCATGCTTCAGATACAGATGGGATAGGAAAAGGATTATCTGCTTCTCACTTGGCTCTTGCTAGGTGATATAATATACCCAAAGGGAATCACACGTTGATGTACCGTGAAAACATAAAACCATGCGAACAGCCTGACCAGCTTTGACCGAAGTCCAGCTTAGGATGTCATCTAACCTGGTGACAAAATGTTCGGAAACTAAACAGCAAGCTCGGAGAACAAAGCACCACGGGTGGGGGGAGAAAAGGGGCAACCTTCTTTTCCAAATATGGGCCTGAAGATGTCAAGAAGGGACACCAACAGAGCAATAAACTGGTCAAGGGATCCGAATGCAAATTGCAACTTTTGACTTGAGCTTTCAAATGATAGCCAGGTAGTCCTCTGCATATATGGCAGTTGGGACTGGAATTTCCAATGCTAAGCAGTGTGGTTCTAAAGCCATCCCAGTTGCTGACATTAACTAAATCTCACCGTTGTTAGAAGATGCAATTTCCTGCCGGCTTCTCACAACCACATAAAGAACAGTTGCTGGAATTGGGTATGGCTAGCCTAGTAAAGAGAAGGACCAGGAGAGACATGATAGCAGTCTTCCAATATCTCAGGGGTTGCCACAAAGAAGAGGGAGCCAAGCTATTCTCCGAAGCACCTGAGGGCAGGTCAAGAAGCAATGGGTGGAAACTAATCAAAGAGAGAAGCAACCTAAAGAGAAATTTCCTGACAGTTAGAACAATTTGCCTCCAGAAGTTATGAATGCTCCAACGTTGGAAGTTTACCAAGAAGAGATTGGAAAACCATTTGTCTGAAGTGGTGTAGGGTTTCCTGCCTAAGCAGAGGGTTGACTAGAAGACCTCCGAGGTCCCTTCCAACTCTGTTATTCTATATTCTATCTACCACCCGAGTCACAGATATTTTCTATCATTTCCAGAGATGAGGCTTCTCACCCAAGACTTGTCTTCTTTGTGTGAGGCCAATTGAGATGTAGATTCTCCCCAGATTCTGGATGCCCATATATACTGTAGTAGAATGGCTCCAAGAATCCAGGAGTAAAGTGGATTGACCGGCTGCAGTGGTGGGTTGCTCCCGGTTCGGACTGGCACGGCCGTACTGGTAATGGCCTGGAGCAGCTGAGAGCCTACTGTGGCTCATTTGGCTCACCCACCCACCCACACTCTATAGCTGTATTTATGCCAAAAGGCACACTGCACACGCACACACAGCATGCAGTGCCTGTGCGAGCCCCAACAAGCAGCTGGTTGTCACAGGGGTGGTGGATTGTGCATGCGTGCGCAGCGCACATCTGACGCATGCACAGGGCACGTCTGGCCCGTGCATGAACAGACTCGATCAGCATACCAGTAACGACGGTAAGGGCAACCCACCACTCACATCTTACATCGTATGCTATTAGTTTGTTCTTCTCTTGTCCATGCTGAGATTTCAACCTTGATGATGGCAGGAGATTATGAAAATTGGCAGCCCAATGAACGCATCTTGAGGGGCACTGCATTGAGGAAATTGCTTTAATTCATCCGGGGGTGGATCCTGATGAACGGCCACAAATGACTTCTACTAGGAAGAACTCTGGGCTTGTATTGCTGAGCCTGCATTAGTACAAGGCTCCTCCTTTGTGTCCAGTCAACTGGATGGACTGTAGTCATCCTATGGATTCTGCAGAGAACAAATTGCACCATATCTCAAGTTAATAAACTTCATTGATCGCATGTATTAAATGGAAGGAGAAGAAGTGCAAGTGATTTGTTTTGGAAAATGTGTTTGTTGGGACATGGTATATAGTCAAAACTATATGCCTGTCAAAGAAATATCCAAGCTAGCAAAAACCGGATCTGGTACCTTTAAAAGCAAATAGATTCATTGCAACGTAAGCTTCATGGGCCATTTTCCATCAAATGTTCCTACATTCCTAACGATAAGAACCATTTGATGGTAGAACCAATTGCCTAGCAAAGTCAAGGGTTGTTCTGCATTGGATGTGTTCAAGCGGAAGCCAGATAGCATCTGTCCAGGAAGTGTTGATTTGGATGCCTGCAGAATGCAGAGGCAAAGAGACTCAGTGAAAGAAATTGTTCTTCCAACTCCAGGATTCTAGGCTGTCATTGGTTGAGTATAATGAAGAAAATAGTGAACCGTGGAACCTTATTTCAAGGGGAATAGCCTACTTGGTATTTTCCTACTGTAGGTTTTCCAACTGTCATCTCTTGCCAAATTAGTCATTTTGCCAAAAGCATCAAGTCAACATTTGATTTCATGGGAGAAGGATATTTGAGTCTTGCCATTTGTTGATTTCCCTCCTTCCCATTTGCTTGTCTTCTTGGCTAGCTCTGTGTCAAGATTGAACTGCTTTCCTTCTTTCAAATCCTATTGCTATGCAACTTGCCAATGAATGGCGGGGGGATGGAGTTCTGAGATTGGATCTCATGGATCGTGAGAGCCTGGAAATCACCAAGGTCACCACTGCAAGTGCTTGAGAAGGAGGTGGACTGTTCCCATAAAAAAGGACATCTCATAATAGGGCAATGTGATCACCCAGGGATGGGGAAAAGAGGAAACTATTGTTTAAGTAAGCAAGCATTTGCGCAGGAAAACCAGAGCTGGTTTTGATTCTTCAGTGCCAAAATGGTGTATCCAATAAAGTTTTACTTTTGTTCCTGAGAATGTTTAGTTATTTAGTTCACTAGTCGGACAGTTGATGTGCAGTGAGGGGTTTATCATCTCTACATGGGGCTGCCCTTGAAGAGTATTCGGCGACTTCAGCTAGTCCAGAATGCGGCCGCGCGAGCGAT